TTGTTACTTTAATTCCAAAATACCCAATTGTTAGTTTTTCTTCATGTCTACTGTACAGAAGACTAAACTTCGCTCTGATCAGTTTGTTAGATTCTAATTTCCCGTGATTGGTGTAAATCCAACTAAATTTCAAGTGTTATTATGAAGGTCTTGTAGTTAGTGATAATAACATTACCCAAGTTAAGTTTGAGTCACAAGACATATATCTCTGTTATAAAACGACATCGTTGTTGGTGTCGATAAGTTAATTTAATTCTTTATTTGTTTAAAGAGGATTGCAAACAGCCCTGGGGCTACTAGTTGCTCTCCTCGACATGAAACACATTACATAGTACAATACAAGACAATATATTCGAAACTGACAAAACTTACTTACATTTACTCACTCCTTTCATTCATTAAATTGATACTCGCACACTCATCCACGCACACAGCACACACCTGCTCGCACACCAGACAGAGAGAGAGAGAGAGAGAGAGAGAGAGAGAGAGAGAGAGAGAGAGAGAGAGAGAGAGAGAGAGAGAGAGAGAGAGAGAGAGAGAGAGAGATGATTAGAATCGGTTTGCATTGATTATGAAATCGAAAACTTGATCAAATATAACTTTGTTTGATTGACAGTCTAAAGTTTTATAAGTAATATATTTACTAGAACATCAGGTATTAGCTCAACAACAAGAATCGGATTGACATTTGGATCAATTTCATTACATACCAGACGCAACATCTTAATACGGGATCCGTTATATATAGGGCAATATAAAAAGAAATGTTTCTCGTCTTCAGGAGAATGTACACACAAGTCACAAAATTTATTTACAGTTAAATTATAAGAAAATCTATGTTTGTTAAGGGCACTAAGTCCCATTCGTATTCTACAATGATTCACTTTGCCTTTTCCATGTCCATATGTATAGAGATTTAGACAGAGGAGTCGTACTATTACACAAAGATTTTGAGAAAGATACTTATGTAGAACTACAGCGAAAATGTACAGGCAGATTATTCCAGTCTCTTACTGACTTGGGAAAGAAAGATTGGTGGAAGAAGGATTTCCTAGATGTTATGGGAAGAATAGTATCAGAATTTCGAAAGCCATAATTTTGAGTGCGATGGTTAAGTAGGGGACATACAGATTTAAGATATGAAGGACAAAGATCATGCTTAATTTTATACAACATTTTTTTAGTCTACAATTTCTTCTTCGGTCACTAAGAGATTCCCATCCTAATTCATTTAACAGTTTAGTATATTTAGTTACCTTGTAACCACCAGTGCATATCAAAACTTCTCTTCTCTGTACGCTTTCAATGAGGTCGGATTCAAATTGACTACAATTATCAAAAAATACATTACCATATTCTAAGATAGATCTAACCATTGATTTATAGAGAGTTTCAAGACAGGCTCGTGGGATTATATACGATAGTGACTGAAGTATGTTTAAAATTTTATTAGCTTTACCGACAATTTCTGACACATGAGAATGCCAGCTCAGATTCCCAGACAAGAAAACACCGAGGTGTTTATGTGTATTAACATGTTTTATAACAACATTATCAAGAATTAAGTTAGGTATAACCAATGCTCGTTTTTTAGTAAAAAGAACAAGTTCGGTCTTCAAAGCATTAAAAGAAACTAGCCATCGTTTCGCCCACTGAGACAATATAGATAAATCATTGTTCAGTCTTTCTACAGAGGCCTGACCAGATATTGCCGAAGAAAGTGACGTATCGTCAGCGAATAAGTTGATATCCGACGAAATACCCTCGCTGATGTCGTTAACGTAAACTAAGAATAATAGAGGCCCTTATATAGATCCTTGAGGAACCCCAGAGTTAATCGAACGTTTTTCAGAAGCTTGGCCATTCAAGGCAACAAACTGATTTCGTTCAGATAAGTAACTTTTAAGCCAACAAAGTAGATTACCTTTGATTCCAACATTTTCTAGTTTATAAAGGAGACCGTCGATAAGTTGTATATTGACGTGTTAAAAGTCTTGTGAAACAAGCTCCTTAGGAATGAGATGGAAAGTTCGGAAAACGGTTTACATTTCAACGCGTTAAATAAGATATATTGCATTCTAGCCTCATTATTTTTTAAAAACAATTGCATACCACCGTTTTTTACCGTGTCCTAATCTTGATTGGTAGTTTCAGAGTAATATTTGCCCTCATTCTCTGTACTTCCACTTGAAACTTGGCTGCCTATTTGTGCAGACGACACCTTTTGGAAACGAAACCTTTTCAATTTCACGCATGCTCAATGACAATTAAATTTTTACCGCGATTCATTGGATGTGGTCTCGTGAAACATAATCACGCCATTTTGATTGACCAGAGATACGGTGGTTAAAAAAGATCTACAAAATCACAGGCACTCGAGGCCAGGATATTATTTTTTAAACGTTGATTTTTGTTTTAGCACTCATGACTGACGTTATTTAAACGAAATATAAGCATAATTCAAGTTTTTGTGCCGGTTTACAAATCCGAGGTCCACGGACATTAAAAATACACAAGGCAAGCAACTCCAGATTTTAAAAAATCGACCCCTCGCTTGGAAACTGGCTCAAAAAAAGTAGTTATGATAAGTTCCTTGTAAAACAATATGTATCCGTAGGTAGTGTGTATATTTACCTTTTATTTGGTGCATAACATTACAAAACAACGAGAAATTCACAATACGTACATGAGATTAACATCTCAAATTTTTATCGTCCATGTAATTATCTTTGACGCCATTTCAAGGGCGGTCACTCCGACTTTTTGGGAGAGGAGTTCCGGATAGCACTTTTTTTCCGATGTCATACGCGCGTAACTTCAAAATAGATATTTTTATTTCTACAAATACATTTGCGGGGATTAATGGCTGGGCAAAGAAAGTCCACAGTTGCCAACTCGGATACAATATCATGGTAAGGGATTATACAGAATGCATCAAATTTCAATCAAGCTGGCGGTAATGAGAATTTTTTTTCAAAAAAAAAATAGAAAAAAAAAATCATGCAGATAATGAAAAAAGGGCGCAATTTATGAAAAATATCGTGGGGGAAATATATTAACTTAGAAATTGGAAATTAAATGATTTTTTTTCTATTTTTTTTTTAAATGCCCAGCCATTATTTTTCCATCCCCGCAAATGTATTTGTAGAAATAAAAATATCTATTTTGAAGTTACGCGCGTAATGACATCGGAACCTTTCTTACCTGTTCACTGGTATAGTGCTATCCGGAACTCCTCTCCCAAAAAGTCGGAGTGACCGCCCTTGAAATGGCTTGTTACTTCCGTCAAAGATAATTACATGGACGATAAAATCTCCGATTATTGAGATGTTAATCTCATGTACGTATTGTGAATTTCTCGTTGCCTGTAATGTTATGCACCAAATAAAAGGTAAATATACACACTACCTACGGATACATATTGTTTTACAAGGAACTTATCATAACTACTTTTTTTGAGCCAGTTTCCAAGCGAGGGGTCGATTTTTTAAAATCTGGAGTTGCTTGCCTTGTGTATTTTTAATGACCGTGGACCTCGGATTTGTCAACCGGCACATAAACTTGAATTCTGCTGATATTTCGTTTAAATAACGTCAGTCATGAGTGCTAAAACAAAAATCAACGTTTAAAAAATAATATCCTGGCCTCGAGTGCCTGTGTACAAAATGACAGATTGCAACCATGATGAAAATAACGTTAATATATGTTACAATAATCTGTTTAAAAACAAACCGATGTTAATTTTTATGCCCTTTTCGCAAATCCCACTTTTTTATAAACTTCAGGTTATTCGGAAGGCGTCCATACAAATTGTTCGATAATAGATGTCAAATGACACTTATTAAGAAGTCAATGTGTAGCGGGGCGCAGAGGATAGCGTACTTGCTTTTCACCAACGGAAAACCGTCCGGACACGGTCACTTATCCGACCACTTGAGTTTTGCATTTCGATATGAGTCCTCTTAGAATTATTGCTAGAATTACAAGTTTACAGATGTTATCTAAGGATCCATCTCATTAGTTACAAGAGATCCCAGAATAATCTTCACGCCCACCATTGTTTGATCTTAGCTGTTCTTTGAAAATTTGTTCTTTTCGCTTCTTTTCTCCTCTCTATTTTTGCTCTTAATGATAAGAAATTTAAACATTCCTTTGCATAAATAGCGAAAATAATCTTTAACTGCCCAATCCAATATGGTGTGCTGGAAGCTATTTTGTTTTCCTGATCGGTCCAAAACTCAAACTGACATAACTAGGATCCAATAGACACCTACACGTGAAATTTGATAAAAAATCTATGCAGCAGATCTCAAGAAATAGCGATAACACACTTTCAAAGTCAAAAACCGGCTGTCGGCCATTTTGTTCTTGTGATCAATCCCAAAATCAAATGGACACTACTGGGGACCAAGGGGAACCTACATAGAATTTTGAGACAGATCCATCCAGTACTTCTCAAGAAATAGCAATAACAAACTTCATTGAAAAAATCTTATGATGGTTGCCAGACAGACTTAGAATATATCCTACTCTGTACATATGGCAGAATTAGCAATAACATGTTTTTTTTCAAAATGATCACCATTGTGCATGAGCAGAGGTGGTTAGGTCTTAGTTTCAGTTCAGAAGAAGCTTTGTTTTACTTAAAATAGTCATTATGGCAGTCATGGTCTGAATTACAAGCTAGTGTATGACCTCTGTATACCAAACACATCATATTAATGAAATTTCGGAGTCATAAACCAGCTTGTATTATGGGATCCCCTTAGAACTGATGACGAACCATGTCCTGTAATGAAGAGCACTTTTTATCATCCAATGAAGAGTAAGGATAGAGGTCATCTAAAATGGCCGATGGACCCAAATTTTGTTCAGAATCGGACACAGAACTCTCTGCCTCTTGAGAAACGCAAAACCGTCAGAAAAGGAAGTATACACCTCCGATGTTCCAACAATCGCAGCCTCAATATATAAACATAAAACAGTCACAATGGGAGTATAATCAAGTATTCATTTATTTCACACGAAAATAGTCAAACTTCTCCATTAACTTCTATATACATTCATCTTATCACTCATTGAACACATATCAGGTAAGCTAACAATAACATCATCATACTTCCATACTGTCACTAAAGTGACATCCACACATCAACCAACATACACTACATACCACATCCTGTCCCAACTTCATGAATGGAATTGAATGCTTGCAACAGCTAAGGTCATCATGACAATACTCATTGTTGCAAACAATAAAACCCCAAAACTACCAAAATTCCATTTCTGAAACTGATTTTCCTTGTAAATCACATGAACCATCATTAATTGGTAATCTAAAAATACATGTTCCATCTCAACTGGTTCATGTAGTTGTCAGGCATATATTATGCTGACAAAATTGAAAAAAAATCCTACATCAATAGAACTTTTTAAAAGAAGTAAATTTTTAACTTTTAACAATATTTTTGTGTATTTTTTTCTAATTTCCATTATATTTCTTTATCTTTTTTTAATGTTTTGTTTTCCTTATTTTTATAAAAATCATATATAAAACAATAAATACAGAAGGCTGTCTTTACCATTGGCATGGTTTAAATACTTTAAAAGTCGCCAATAAATAAGAAACAGCTGTTCTCTTTGAAATGGTAGGTGTATCTATAGTATATTTACTGATATCCATCCTTATCTTTCAGGGTAAAAACACATCTATTACAAAAGTTCATTTATCTGGAATGACAATGTGTTATCTTAAATCCTGTGAAATCTAATGGTTTAGCCTGGCAGACTAGGTACATGTAATTTTTCTGTGTACAAACAAAATAGCATAAACTAAATCACAAATATCTTCAACAACATCTAAAATTACAGAGTACACTTGTATCCTTATTTTTTATCTTCCTCGACAGTAACACAATATTTTCAGTCAAGGTCATAAACAGTAAAATAAACACTACGTCATTCTGTCAGGCCACACTTGCCATTAACAATAATTCCATATAATATCATAAGACTGCAGTTCTTTTTCGTCTGAATGTTACCAGTAATGTTGTGTTTTAAAGCTACACTTTAACGTAATAGTTGTTGGATTTGAAATTTTTGTACGTTTGATCCAAACAACTATAATGTAACAAGTCATGATTTTAGTGTGGAGATTGTAAAAAACAGATGTAACTACATCATCTGACAAACAACAGATAATTTATTCCATTACCTTCTCAAAAACATCTGGGATCACATGTAGATTTGCAAATAGCACATACATTTTTATGTATACCATGACTTCTCTGAACACATAGCAATATTTTTCTGAGAATTTTGAGTGTGTTACAGAATCACATGATTCAACAATTTTGTCCCTAGGAAATCATTGTTGTGGTCAAGGGCAACAACTCTTGATAAAGACAATTTCTTAAAATTGTGTAATACTTTTTGTGAGATACTAAATTGTAGAATTGCCTTCTGTTCCAGAATATTGTGAAGCTAGGAAAGATTGATGCATTTTTTTCTGATACCAATATCCAGAGAATCAAATTTGGACCTGAAAGTGTCTTGACTTTGATGCATTATTTTCTGATGCCAAAATTTAGAGATCAGTCAATGCCTTGAAGGTGTCTGTTCTGGTACCAATCTCAAGAGATCAAAAAAGGGTCTTAACTCTGATGCTAAGGTTTTCTAATCCCAATATCTAGGGAATCATGGTAAATAAAACCTGGTTTTTGTAAGACTCTTAACAATTAAGTGCTACATCAGTTAACAATAATAATAAATAATAATATATTACAAATACCTAACACAGTTTTAGTTAATAGGATAATCCAAGGGACAACTGCAATGAACATGTATGGCTAAATCTAAGGCACACAAAATGCCTTCTTGACCTCCAGTATACCTAAATACAGAATCAAAGATCACAGGTGTGGGGTGGGGACAAGAGTTACAGGTGAATACCAACTATTGCTGAGATTTTGATCAGAAAAATGTCTGTTTTGACCTGTATACCTGTCTTGGTAACAGTTCAAGTTTGAGTTCAACAAACCTCAACTCTGTAAACAATGTAATCATATTTTTTTTACAACTTGATCAGAAAAATTATTAGAAAAAGAAAATCAACAAAAGTGGGTGTATCTCTTGTATCTACTTCAGATATTGCCAGTTGCAACTTGGCAAATGAACAACTTCAAAGTCCAAGATTTTACTCTCAACATGCTTTCATAAACATCCTTTTTTTCTAAAAGATGACAAGAAACCATCTGGTAATCTGTTATACTTTGTATGCCCAGCATTGCTTTTGGTTTAGCAATTCTGTGATCTTGAACGAAGGTATCAGTCTTCCCATCAGTCACTTTTTTTATGAATAGAACCAATCAAATGGCTATCTATGAGTCTTAGGTTATGTCATTCAAGGAGTATAGACAAGATATATGTATATGAAGAGTAGAAATCCTGGAACTTAAAGCTGATTATGAAGGAAGAACATCCACTATGCTGCTATAACTATTTATGAAATAGTAGTGGTCCAATGAATCATACAGAAAATAAGTAGGGCAGAGATATTATGTGAGAACCTGTGAAAATATTCACGCAAGTTTTATTGCAATTTAAACAATATCAGCTAATCAGATCACAGCATCTCATCTTGGTTTGTGTAAATTCAGTCCTAGTCAAACATTCAAGCTTGAACAATGGACTAATGAGAATTAGTATACCTGGCAAGATTAACTCATTAAAGTCTTGTTGTATGATCTTTGTGTAGATAATCCACCTATGAGAGCATATCCATATGCTCTTTAACACTTATTCTTTTTCTTTGTCCGAATCATCTTCCACCTCTGTGACCATGATGCTCTCTATATTACTCTGGCTTCCTTGGTGGGCCCATGAGTCATTGTATGTCACTTTGTCACATGTGACCACTGTCACAGAGTCTAATTTTTCCTGTAACTCTGCCCGTGCTGTAGCCAAAGCCTGCTGTACTGCAATATCTTTTTGGGTTCGTTCCTCCATTACTGCACGTTGTATGCTCATCTGAGCCTCCATCCGTGCTGCATTTACAGCCTGTAACCCAAAATTACAACAATCTCATAAACTGCAAACATACATGTCCAGGTCTCTCAACCCACCCTCCTTTCCCCCAAAAAAAAGCTACCATGGTGAAAGCTAAACATAGAAAAAATGTACATGTTAATCTTACTAAACATGTATCCTGAGTGAAAATAGAAAGGAATATATAGTATTATTTTTATGATCCAAATTAAAAACGTTGAAAATTGTATCAAAATTCCTTCTACTGCTAATCAGCCTAAGGGGTGACTCACAAGATCAAGAACAGCTATATATGCCATGCAACGTTACATTGCAAATGAATGTTCTATAGTTTTGAGAAACTCAATAATTATGATGATAATATTATGTACCCAGTAAACATATGAACTTGCCAGAAGTGACCAATTTAAAGATGTATATTGTCAACCCAATTATATAAATTTCTATATGGAAACAATTACTATTATAGAGATATGCATACATTGTATATCTACAATAATTAATACTATTACTTGGTAAAATCAAAATCTGTTACTAGATTTAGTGATGAACTGCATATGTCGAAAGATATTTGAGGTTTGAAGTGTATCCAAATGGAACATTCAAAGTAGTGAAATTTTAGATCAAAACATTTCTTTAATTGGTAAAAAGATGACACTATAATAAGTAGCGAAAGACGTTTTCACAAGGATCAGCACAAGTAATGAAGCAGTATTTACTGGTGAGTTTGATAAAAACCAGACTAGTCAAGGGTAATGTAGTCTGGTAGTATTGTAAACAGTCTGAGCACTGATGAGGAATTTGCTGTACATATTTCATTCCAGAATTTCTATATTCCAAAATTATATACCGTGGTACCACTTCAGTCCAAAAATACTGAAATGTATCAGTATTTTCAAATTAATTCAGCATTGATGTCTGTTGTTTTTGATTAATGACGAAGATGTATAACATAATATGTATATATCATATCATCATTGATCATAGTGATAACCATGTTTCCACTGTGTCTACAGCAATACAGTAAAACTTTTTACAGTTGAAAGCAAAACATTAATGCTGTTTAAATGCATAATTGATTTGTGCATCTCACAAGCGAATAATAAAATTTAGAAAATACAACAGGTGACCTAAAATATGAAAAATGACCTAAAGAATGAAACTTCTTGTGACTCCATCAACAGATTTAACACCAAACTTTTTCAAGGAAAATGGAGACACATAATAGGAATGGCTTTAAGTTACAAGGAGAAATAATATGGGATTATAAGAATTTTATCAGCATGCATTAGGCTTTTGTTAATATCTAAAAGTACAGACACTGATGGAGAGATTGCTTAGTAAACTGTAAGTAATGTCAGGCCCTATATCTGTGACTAGACAATCTTGGAATGCCCCAAAACAAACAAGTTCGATATTAGCTATTTCATGTATTTGAAAAGTCAGATAATTTTTAAAATACATCAATAAAACAAAGGATCATTTGTGTGCAATTCATTTGCAAATCTTGTTAAATGTTTGACTGACAACCTTGATAAAATGCTTTCCCTTTTCTGTTATATCAACAAACATTGGTCCACATAATGTTTATCACATTGTAAGATAGGGTGTGCTTATATGGTGTGCTTATATTCCAGTGAGGCTAATAATGTAGATCAAATAAAAAAAATTGATAAAAATTTGCTCTGTGGCTTATATACCTATGCGATGAATAACCCAGAAAATATGGTAATACAACTAGATAAAAATTTGGATAACCTTCTACTGTACACGATTTTTTGCCATTAGTGTATCATATTTGTTTGACCCAAATATCTTAGCTTTAATAGATTTTCCTTTTTCAATTTTTCAAACAGAACTATCTAAGAAGTTAACTTTATTCATTCAATTCCAATAACATATCACTTGTTCAAGCTTACATCTTGCTTTTCCTTATCCATCTGCATCTTGAGTTGATGAATGGCAGCATCACGAGAAATTTGACTTTGCTGTTTGGCTTGTTCTATCAGCCCCTTTATCTGTTGGGCCTGACTCAACACTCCATTTACAAGCTATAAAAGGAAAAAACAGTTTTCAAGTTACTTTGAATAAAAAAATTATGTCAAAATAATCTACTTTAAGGCTAAAAATGTCCCTGTATTACCCTGTCTACATCTTAATAAGTGCATATGCACATCTTCAAAGTCTGGCAGTTAAACTAGTGAGAACTGTTTAAAAAATCCAAAATTATAATTGAAGGTCATCATTCCAGTCAAGATATTAAAAGTAGCAGATCAGTGCAATAAATGTAACAGGGAATTTTACAAAAATATTAATGAATCTTTATGAAGTTTTCTGTTCTGGCTACAGTAAATTTAGGTCAGTATCATAAAATAAACTTCATTACATTTCGTGATAAATATGATCATTTTAAAAGTTCTACCTCCTCAAGCTGCCACCATTGTCTCTGTTCTGACACATCAGGTACAGTCATCACAGTGGCCTGGGGAGCTTTAGGGGTCACAGGCAATGGGGTCATAACCACTGCATCTGTTAAACAAAACCAACTCAACATATCTTAATCAACTCAGTATATCTTTGGTAACACGGAAATATGTCTGTCAGTCAGCATACTGGACACTGATTGTCACACTTGCATTTCATATTTGTATGGAGAAAAGATGCAAAGCTTATCATATTGCCTGTCATTCAAACATAAGAAAATATTCAAACAGTGTTTAAGAAACAAATGTTTTCTTTTATGTATATAAAGAAAGAGAAATCATTGTGGGTAATAAGAAACACCTGAAAGGTAGAAATTTTTATCTCCCAGTATACAAAAGAATGATAACATTGTACATAACTTATATATTGTTTATGCAGAGCATTAATCATTTTTTCCCATTTAATATTTCTGTGTGACTTTGATATTTATTTCTTGATTTGAGAAAGACCCGTCAAATATACTCACCTCCAGTAATAATGTTTCCCGCTGCATCTGTTGTAAATATCTGTACTGTCTCACCGTCAGCACTTGTCATTTTGATTGGTTGTGGTGTTTGTGCATGAGTATTTATGTTGTTGCCAATGGACACCATCATACCTACTGAAACAATTATACATGACGTAAATATTATTCAAGGAATCAATGGAAAATGGAATTTACTTGTTGACCAGAAAAACCAAAATGAGAAATGTTGTTCCTTTTACTATAGTAGCAATTAAGAATAAATTTGACATCATTTAATTTTGATATGACAATTGATAAATGTATAATTTCATCTTCTTCATGACAAGAACATCATCAATAAATCAGCTGCAAGCAAAAATCTTACCAATATGCTACGATAAGGGAAAAACGTAAAGAAATAAGAGTAGAACATTATGCTCAAATTGGCATATTTGCAGTCCAAGCCCCTACCATGGTCTTTAATTGACACTGGGACTTGATTTCCGAGTGTTATAGCATTGGCCAAAGATACTGGTGTGACAGGTGGTCCCGGTGATTTTGTAGAATTCATCCTTGGCTTTTTGGAGATATTAACAGGCACAGGAATAGAGTCTAATCTTGTTGGAGAAGATGCATCACTGTCACTGTCCTTTTTTCTCCTCTTATAAGGTACAAATAGTCGTATTGGGCCTGTCTATATGGGGGAAAAAAATGGGATTTTTTTACTGACATCTTGATATCAAATTTCATGATAATTTTGAAAAATGTGAGACAAGCGAGTTAAGGCAAAAATTCTTGGTTTTTTTTTCATATATCTGGTGACTGACGTTGGCCTATACCAAGCATTGTTTGCTTTCATGTACTCTAAAATGCCTCTTCTAATAAGTATATTGTTAATTAGTGAAAGAGAAGCTGTGGAGATAATCAGTATACTTGTCCAAATTGTTGAAACTTCAGAAACTGAATTTAGAGAGGAAATCTAGAAACATTATACACAATTAAATTAATATTACATGTGTATATTTTTTTTCTGACATGGAGATCGTCCACTTGCATAAATTGCAGTAAATCAAGAAGGGAGATAACTTAAACGATACATACATGTACATCAGGTGTTGGAGAGTTATTGACCCATGGACATTTCAAATGAAACAGTTTCAGCTTTCATGTAACTTATTCTATTCTATGACACTTTCCCTTTTTTATATCAACTAATCTTTATGACTCATTACAGTTATCTCTTCTTAATTTTTACAGTTGGCGATCTGAATAATTGAATCTCAATAATGCATTTATAGACAAACAATCAGCTAACTAACCACAGATTCATCATCGCAGCAGGCAGCACATGTACAGGAGGTGGCATGGGGTTGGAGGATACCATCTTCAATCAGACACTGTAAAGTTCTTCCACCATACCGGATACTTCGCTTCCAATCCTTGCTACTGGCACGTCCACTCTTTGCCTCAAATTCATTTGGAGTGAACCATTCGTCCTCAAATGCTCGGATACAACGACCTCTTCCTCCTGTTGGAAATAAAACGAATTCTTTAAAACAAAGAAATGTGTAACATTTTGGCACCTAACCTCTGTCTTATTATGAAAGTATTGTAAATATAAAGAAAACATTTGTTTTATTAATTCAATTAAGGGGAATTAATAACTCAAAATGTGATATGTCTACTTTATACATTTGACAATTAAATAATAAGTGAGTCCGATATATCAATATTGACCAAGTTAATTCTATATACAAAGCTAGTGTTTATAAGAACTTTTTTCGAAAATTAATTACAGGGGCACAACTACAGAAGCCTTCGTCAAAATATGAAAGCGAGTTGTGTCACAACATCAACCAACTTCTAATCATGACAACAGCTTCAGATAAATAAGAATGATTCTAACTCCTCTGTCAAAGTGCCCCTTCATATTTTAGAGTGGGGTTTCAAATAGATTAAATAGACTATAAAAATTCTTTTGTCACTAACAACTGATTTGTAAAGTTAGAAAAATATATCAAACATAACTAATTTTCCAAAATGTAGTACCAGACGACTTGTAATTGTTCAATATTTGTCATTTTACATTAAAAAAAAATGCTTTTTGCCTCCTTTTTCAGGAGAAGAAAAAATCAGCAAGCTGACCAACTTGTGTCGTCTGCTACAAACGGTATGAATACCTGAACCAAATTTAGCTTTATGCAGCTCTCCATTCGTGTGTTTACAACGCACTGGTAACACTGTCATGTGTACAGAATCGTCCCATTGGTATTTCAATCCCTTCTCTCTACTTAATGGTGTTGCAGGGGTGGGAGGGGGTATTGGGGTGGTGGGAGTCTTCAGGCCGCTAGAATCAACTGTCAGAGTTTGGTCATGAATGACGATGTGTGTCGTTTTAAGGCCGTTTGCTTCTTGAAAGTGTTCTGCAGCCGTCAGAAGGCCCTGTGAAGTTGCAACAAATACATGTTCAGCACTTATTGTATTATGACCGTCACTTTCTGTATCTACAGCCTGGACTACAGAGTTCGAAGCATCACCGCTTCCATCGTGCTGATCGTCCGCGAAAGCCGAATCGTCACCATTCGGCAGATCTTCGGCGATGTCGACTTCAGACATGTCGGAAACACCGCGGAGAGTGGTTACCGTAAATTACTAATTTTATCACATTCTGGATATATTCAAACTGTCCATGCTTACATATTTGTACACCTGAAACCTAAAATCGTGTTCAATTGTCATAATCCATCTGTAGTTTTCCTAAAAATCAAACTTCTTCATCTTTTGTCGGAGATTTCCGTTGTTTGACGAAAGATGGCGGAAAATATTGCGTTCTTTACTAAGGATCCAACAGCCAATCAGAAGCTGTTTCAAATATAGTGGTTTTTGACGGAAATCGGTCCTAGCTCCGGACATTCGTAATCTCTAACCGATAAATACTCTAATTTCATATCTGAATTTTAGATATTAAGTAAGCACAAATATACTACAGACATCAAAATATGTTTACTTTTTGTCATATCTGCATATTCAAAAATCGGAATTTTAATGCGTTTCAAATTTTGGAACATGCACTTGTTAGAGGTTATTGTGGGAACTCAAAAGTGAAAATGGCATGAGAATGGACGAATCCTACCAGCAGCGGTTTAAAACCGATTTCTCCGTACGTAACTTGGTTGTTATTCGTGGAGTTGTTCTGTTATACTTTTCATAACATTGATTGTAAAACAGAACAACTTTGAAGTCAATATATATCTGTTATCTTACGAATTCCATAATTTTGTGTAATACACTTCATCTCTAGATAGTACAATTCAGGTGGGCACACTTTACCGGGTTCAGATCTATTATTTTTAAAAAGTTGATAGTTTATGGTAATTTAATGTAATTTTATTTACATACCAAAAACTCTGATTACAGACTTAACCAAACTAAGTAGGGATGGTTTTAATGTTTTTGAAACTTTGGCAATGAGGGATAGAAGCCAAAGTTGCATAAAGAAAACCCCTACTACATACCTGATTTATGGGATATAATACCATTGAAACCATTTAAGCCTGGAATATTGTCATTTGTGACATAATTAATGAAATCATACTATAAGTTGTTGGAAGAAAATAGTCATGACTATCATTGCCCATCATTCTGTGTATACTTCCAAATTATATTCTATTCAAACATTATTAAGAGTCTGTTCTCAACAAGCTAAATATTTGTGACACTCTACTCCATATGTGTGCATGACTGAGTTTTTTGGAGATATTGGTGTATGTTCTTTTTGTTATATTGAACTGTGCTCATGAGAATCATTTCACATTTTTGATCAAGGCACAAAATCTGTATTACCCAGGCCAGACGATATTGTACTCCATTCTAGACTGCTGGGGTGAGATGATGATTAAGTATCTAGCTCAAGGATGCAATTCCATTTAGGCAGCTGGCCTTGAATCCCTGACTAGAGAGTCTCCTGGCCAATAAAGAGTAATGTGTAGTTCTGCACAACGATTCCTCTCATTCAAGTTTATTTGCACATTGTCAACTGCATAAATTACAAATAACAAAATTCATGTAGTTCAGCACCTTTTTTTATTGACCTTCATAGACTAATGGCAGTCAGAAGTTATGTTTTCAACTCTATAAGAAAAGTTGGTAACCCCTGATCCTAATAACTGAAAATGACCTGTATGAAACAATTTTGGAATTTTATGTATTTCGTTAATTTTTTAGCAGTTCTTTAGGTTGTTTTAAATGAATTTTGTTAAATTGATTTTTATTTCTTTTTGAAGATATCCAATAATTCTAATTATTTCATTGCTTCAGAGATCATGAAAAATATGTAATAAACTAAATCTGTTTAAACAGGAAATGATTATAATTTAAATAAATATATCATGATAAATGAAATAGTTTACTTTTTACCAAAAAGGTTATTTGATAGGTTCAAGGCTTCAAGAAATGATCAGCATTTGATGCCTTGGTATCAAAGTATGTCAATTTTATCATTGCATTGTCACGCATTTCACTTCTTTTGTATCGAAACTTGTGCAACATACTGAGTTTACGAGTACGTCTTGACTTTATAGTATCAGGGTATCAGCAAGGTTGTAGGATGTATTGGGGTATCTGAAAGGTTGTAGGATGTATTGGGGTATCTGAAAGAATGTAGGATGTATTGGGGTATCTGAAAGAATGTAGGATGTAGGATGAATGTAGGATGTGGGGTATCTGAAAGGTTGGATGATGTATCAGGGTATGTGAAAGGTTGTAGGATGTATTGGGGTATCTGAAAGAATGTAGGATGTATTGGGGTATCTGAAAGAATGTAGGATGTATCGAGGTATCTAAAAGAATGTAGGATGTATCGGGGTATCTGAAAGGTTGGATGATGTATCAGGGTATGTGAAAGGTTGTAGGATGTATTGGGGTATCTATAAGGTTGTAGGATGTATCAGGGTATCAGCAAGATTGTAGGATGTATCGAGGTATCTGAAAGATTGTCGGATGTATTGGGGTATCTGAAAGAATGTAGGATGTATCGGGGTATCTGAAAGAATGTAGGATGTATCGGGGTATCTGAAAGAATGTAGGATGTATCAGAGTATCTGAAAGGTTGAAAGATGAATTGGGGTATCTGTAAGGTTGTAGGATGTATCAGGGTATCAGAAAGGTTGTAAGATGTATCTGGGTTTCTGTACGTATGTAGGGTATATCTGGGTTTCTGTAAGTATGTAGGGTGTCTAGGTTTCTGTAAGTATGTAGGGTGTCTGTTTTTCTGTAAGTATGTAGGGAGTCTGGTTTTCTGTAAGTATGTAGGGTGTATCTGGGTTTCTGTAAGTATGTAGGGTGTCTGGATTTCTGTAAGTATGTAGGGTGTCTGGGTTTCTGTATGTATGTAGGGTGTATCTGGGTTTCTGTAAGTATGTAGGATGTATCTGGGTTTCTGTAAGTATGTAGGGTGTATCTGGGTTTCTGTAAGTATGTAGTGTGTCTGGGTTTCTGTAAGTATGTAGGGTGTATCTGGGTTTCTGTAAGCTTATAGGATGTATCTGGGTTTCTGTAAGTATGTAGGATGTATCTGGGTTTCTGTAAGGTTGTAGGGTGTCTGTTTGTCTGTAAGCTTGTAGGATGTATCTGGGTTTCTGTAAGTACATATGTATGTAGGATGTATACTGCTAAGTACTGTACTTTTTTCTGTCATATCATTTCGGCTTAGGGAGCAGAGAAGGTATGTGATATTAAGAATATGACTCCAGAATTTATGAGGATGATCCAACTGCGAGCAGTTTCCTAATTGTTCTAAAGATGTATTTATATACACATTATTTATAAGAAAGATGGTTTCGAGGTCAAAAGAAAAAACCGGAAATATTTTTAATAAATGGGTAATAAAGGGGAAAAACTAAAGAATAATTATAGGTAATTTTAATGCAGTTATATTTGTAAGATTCTTTCATTTGGGTCCAAAATATATGTTCCCAGCGAGATATAGTATACTGGGATCTCAAAAAGTGAAATCAGGGCTCAAATATGAGACCCAAGAAATCATCTCAATGTATTTGAATGAATATTTTCAATTTTTTTTTCTCATTTTTAAACAGGCTCTTGGAGCGGGTAAATCACTGGGATTCGGCAATGAGCTGATCACTGCAACAGAAAATGAAGATGATTTTGATTTGATGAACGATGAAACTTTTGGTGGCGATATTGATGGTATTGTATCTTGATTTTGATAAAGGCTATATGTTGTATGAATGAAGTACTATGCTGTTGTTCAAAGGTTCCTTTAATGGTCAGATTGTGCAAAGAGTCAATATATCAAAATTGTCTCATATATTGTATAAATCTTCTCAGTCAGAAAATGGTAAATATATGTATTGATATTATGTTATGGTTCTTTTCAGATGTTGGATTTGATTGGGAAGAGCAAACAGAAAAATTTGCTGGTGAATTTGAAGGCACAATTCCTTCAAACTCCCATCTTTCCAACAAAACTAAGGACTCTGGGTATGATACTGTGGAGAAAAGCTATCAGTCCCGTGAGGTAAGCTCAGCCCTGCTTTAAAATTTTATTTTTCTTGAGTTACTGAAATAGTCAGTGTTTACTGGAATGTGAAGTATGTGAATAACAAGATTTGATTTGTAACCTTGGTGAAACTATTTGGTAGTAGTCCACTATGACCAATTGATGGACTGTTTCCATTTTGCCAGTCTAAACCCTTTGTATATGCCTGTCTGTATTTTAATCAGATAACAGTTTCAAGCTTATCCTTTCATTTGGTCAAACATTTTTGTTAGGGACTAAAATTTGTCGGAGTACACATTAGTAAAATACTTGAATCTGTATTTTGGAATATTTTCTTCTGGTTGGTAATGTCATCAGACAAATTACATGTATGAAGTGTACTAGCACTGCTGTATAAAATCAGTGCAAATATGCTATACACATAAATTTTACCCTTTTCAAATTCAGGAATACCTAGAGCATAACCTTAGTCAACTTGTTGTGGATGATGAAGATGACATTGATGACCCAGCTATTCTCAACGCCAGCAAGAGCCAACCCATACCACGCAAGGTAAACACACATTCCTCAACACCAGAAACAGTCAACCCATACCACACAAGGTAAACACACATTCCTCAACGCCAGAAACAGTCAGCCCCTACCACACAAGGTAACCAAACACTCCTCAACACCAGAAACAGTCAACCCCTACCACACAAGGTAAACACACATTCCTCAACACCAGAAACAGTCAACCCCTACCACACAAGGTAAACACACATTCCTCAACACCAGAAACAGTCAACCCATACGACACAAGGTAAACACACATTCCTCAACACCAGAAACAGTCAACCCCTACCACACAAGGTAAACACACATTCCTCAACGCCAGAAACAGTCAACCCCTACCACACAGGGTAAACACACATTCCTCAACACCAGAAACAGTCAACCCATACCACACAAGGTAAACACACATTCCTCAACACCAGAAACAGTCAACCCCTACCACACAAGGTAAATACACATTCCTCAACACCAGAAACAGTCAACCCCTACCACACAAGGTAAACACACATTCCTCAACACCAGAAACAGTCAACCCATACCACACAGGGTAAACACACATTCCTCAACACCAGAAACAGTCAACCCCTACCACACAAGGTAAACACACATTCCTCAACACCAGAAACAGTCAACCCATACCACACAAGGTAAATACACATTCCTCAACACCAGAAACAGTCAACCCATACCACACAAGGTAAACACACATTCCTCAACACCAGAAACAGTCAACCCCTACCACACAAGGTAAACACACATTCCTCAACACCAGAAACAGTCAACCCATACCACACAAGGTACACACACAGGGTAAACACACCAGGTAACACACACACAAGGTCACACATCCTCAACACCAGAAACAGTCAACCCATACCACACAAGGTAAACACACATTCCTCAACACCAGAAACAGTCAACCCATACCACACAAGGTAAACACACATTCCTCAACACCAGAAACAGTCAACCCCTACCACACAAGGTAAATACACATTCCTCAACACCAGAAACAGTCAACCCATACCACACAAGGTAAACACACATTCCTCAACACCAGAAACAGTCAACCCATACCACACAAGGTAAACACACATTCCTCAACACCAGAAACAGTCAACCCATACCACACAAGGTAAACACACATTCCTCAACACCAGAAACAGTCAACCCATACCACACAAGGTAAACACACATAACACACATTCACACATCAACACCAGAAACAGTCAACCCCTACCACACAAGGTAAACACACATTCCTCAACACCAGAAACAGTCAACCCATACCACACAAGGTAAACACACATTCCTCAACACCAGAAACAGTCAACCCATACCACACAAGGTAAACACACATTCCTCAACACCAGAAACAGTCAACCCCTACCACACAAGGTAAACACACATTCCTCAACACCAGAAACAGTACCCCTACCACACAAGGTAAACACACATTCCTCACAACCCATACCACACAAGGTAAACCACATTCCTCAACACCACAGTCACACCACACAAGGTAAACACACATTCCTCAACACCAGAAACAGTCAACCCCTATACCACACAAGGTAAACACACATTCCTCAACACCAGAAACAGTCAACCCACCACACAAGAAACACATCACACCAGAAACAGTCAACCCATACCACACAAGGTAAACACACATTCCTCAACACCAGAAACAGTCAACCCATACCACACAAGGTAAATACACATTCCTCAACACCAGAAACAGTCAACACCTACCACACAAGGTAAACACACATTCCTCAACACCAGAAACAGTCAACCCCTACCACACAAGGTAAACACACATTCCTCAACACCAGAAACAGTCAACACCTACCACACAAGGTAAACACACATTCCTCAACACCAGAAACAGTCAACCCATACCACACAAGGTAAACACACATTCCTCAACACCAGAAACAGTCAACCCATACCACACAAGGTAAACACACATTCCTCAACACCAGAAACAGTCAACCCATACCACACAAGGTAAACACACATTCCTCAACACCAGAAACAGTCAACCCCTACCACACAAGGTAAACACACATTCCTCAACACCAGAAACAGTCAAACCCTACCACACAAGGTAAACACACATTCCTCAACACCAGAAACAGTCAACCCATACCACACAAGGTAAACACACATTCCTCAACACCAGAAACAGTCAACCCCCACACAAGGTAAACACACACAACACCAGAAACAGTCAACCCACCACACATTCCTCAACACCAGAAACAGTCAACCCCTACCACACAAGGTAAACACACATTCCTCAACACCAGAAACAGTCAACCCCTACCACACAAGGTAAACACACATTCCTCAACACCAGAAACAGTCAACCCATACCACACAAGGTAAACACACATTCCTCAACACCAGAAACAGTCAACCCATACCACACAAGGTAAACACACATTCCTCAACACCAGAAACAGTCAACCCCTACCACACAAGGTAAACACACATTCCTCAACACCAGAAACAGTCAACCCCTACCACACAAGGTAAACACACATTCCTCAACACCAGAAACAGTCAACCCATACCACACAAGGTAAACACACATTCCTCAACACCAGAAACAGTCAACCCATACCACACAAGGTAAACACACATTCCTCAACACCAGGTCAAACACACACAAGGTTCCTCAACACCAGAAACAGTCAACCCCTACCACACAAGGTAAACACACATTCCTCAACACCAGAAACAGTCAACCCAGAAACAGTACCATACCACACAAGGTAAACACACATTCCTCAACACCAGAAACAGTCAACCCCTACCACACAAGGTAAACACACATTCCTCAACACCAGAAACAGTCAACCCCTACCACACAAGGTAAACACACATTCCTCAACACCAGAAACAGTCAACCCCTACCACACAAGGTAAACACACATTCCTCAACACCAGAAACAGCCAACCCATACCACACAAGGTAACCACACATTCCTCAACACCAGAAACAGTCAACCCCTACCACACAAGGTAAACACACATTCCACACAAGGTAAACACACACACCAGAAACAGTCAACCCCTACCACACAAGGTAAACACACATTCCTCAACACCAGAAACAGTCAACCCCTACCACACAAGGTAAACACACATTCCTCAACACCAGAAACAGTCAACCCATACCACACAAGGTAAACACACACAAGGGTAAACACACATTCCTCAACACCAGAAACAGTCAACCCCTACCACACAAGGTAAACACACATTCCTCAACACCAGAAACATCAACACCAGAAACAGTCAACCCATACCACACAAGGTAAACACACATTCCTCAACACAAGAAACAGTCAACCCATACCACACAAGGTAAACACACACAACACCAGAAACAGTCAACCCCTACCACACAAGGTAAACACACATTCCTCAACACCAGAAACAGTCAACCCCTACCACACAAGGTAAACACACATTCCTCAACACCAGAAACAGTCAACCCATACCACACAAGGTAAACACACATTCCTCAACACCAGAAACAGTCAACCCATACCACACAAGGTAAACACACATTCCTCAACACCAGAAACAGTCAACCCACCACACAAGGTACCACACAAGGTAAACACACATTCCTCAACACCAGAAACAGTCAACCCATACCACACAAGGTAAACACACATTCCTCAACACCAGAAACAGTCAACCCATACCACACAAGGTAAACACACATTCCTCAACACCAGAAACAGTCAACCCATACCACACAAGGTAAACACACATTCCTCAACACCAGAAACAACACCAGAAACAGTCAACCCATACCACACAAGGTAAACACACATTCCTCAACACCAGAAACAGTCAACCCATACCACACAAGGTAAACACACATTCCTCAACACCAGAAACAGTCAACCCCTACCACACAAGGTAAACACACATTCCTCAACACCAGAAACAGTCAACCACACACAGGTAAACACACATTCCTCAACACCAGAAACAGTCAACCCCTACCACACAAGGTAAACACACATTCCTCAACACCAGAAACAGTCAACCCATACCACACAAGGTAAACACACATTCCTCAACACCAGAAACAGTCAACCCCTACCACACAAGGTAAACACACATTCCTCAACACCAGAAACAGTCAACCCATACCACACAAGGTAACCACACATTCCTCAACACCAGGTAACCACACATTCCTCAACACCAGAAACAGTCAACCCCTACCACACAAGGTAAACACACATTCCTCAACACCAGAAACAGTCAACCCCTACCACACAAGGTAAACACACATTCCTCACAAGAAACAGTCAACCCCTACCACACACATTCCTCAACACCAGTCAACCCATAAACACACACATTCCTCAACACCAGAAACAGTCAACCCCTACCACACAAGGTAAACACACATTCCTCAACACCAGAAACAGCCAACCCCTACCACACAAGGTAAACACACATTCCTCAACACCAGAAACAGTCAACCCATACCACACAAGGTAAACACACATTCCTCAACACCAGAAACAGTCAACCCCTACCACACAAGGTAAACACACATTCCTCAACACCAGAAACAGTCAACCCATACCACACAAGGTAACCACACATTCCTCAACACCAGAAACAGTCAACCCATACCACACAAGGTAACCACACATTCCTCAACACCAGAAACAGTCAACCCATACCAATGGAAATAGAATAGCAACCTATATATCTGTTGACAAATATGGAAACAAAATCAGGGTTAAGACCAGTTCATAAAATACATTATAAATTGTACAAAGGCAAATGTAATGGTAAGTCATTGTTATAATGTGTTTAAAACTGATTTGTATAAACAAAGATGATCAGATACTGTCTTACAATAATATAATATTTATTTTAAACTGTCAACATCAATCAGCCACATCTCTCACTTCTCAAATAAACAACTTCTGGTTTAGCACATATTTATGTTCTGTGCTTGCAGGCTGTGTTACCCTGGCAAGATAGAAACATTTTATCCTCACTGAAAGTGTGGACATTTCTGTCCAATGGGATAGAATTCTGTATCTTGATAAGTGTTCGTCATTTTGTTATGTACCTGCAGGCTATGTTACCCTAGCAAGATAAAAATATCCTACCATCACTGGAAGTGTGGCCATTTCTGTCTGATTGGGTACAATAATACCTCTTAACTCTTATGTACACAATATCCAGTCAATACCAAATATGATGTACATCTCTGTCCTTAACAATCTGAGAGTACTGACAAAGTTCTAAGGAGCGAAGGTGAAGCAGGGGTTTCAGATTTTCAGTTTGATGATCACATTGAACAGTCAAACTGGACTTTGGGAATGACTGTTAAGTTTTGTGGTAGCATCGAGATATTTCAAGCATCATACTTTTCCCCATTATGTCAATTTAAACCAGAACTGTGTACACATTCATATTTTCATTTTGCAGAAACATCAGAACCTTGACGAGATCTTTGGTCCAGCTTCCCCGCCTGGATACCTAGATACAGAGCATTTGGTAATATTTTCCTACCATGCCTTTATCATACATCCATGATCGTGATTCAGCTGATCTGATTTGACAACTGACTTGTACATGTTAAAATGTGCCATAGTAAGCTTATCCTTGACACCAAATGTATGGGAAAAAGGAAAATTCTATCAAGCATATAATTATGATTTATAGTTCTTGATATTTTAAATGATTTATACATAACTGTATCTAACAAAATGTTGTCTTATGTTCTTTATTAGGTGTCACCCTCCAGTAAAAACATTTGGGGCTCACCAGTGAAGGATACAAACATGCCATCCACCATCAATAATCTGCAGTCTCTCTTTGATTTTGCAGCCAAGGCTGCAACTCAAGGCACTCCTAGAAGGGTAAGTGCTAATACTTGTACATGTACATTAACAAACAAAAGTCACCCAAAATATGTATATAATTGTCAACTTTTGTTTCTCTCACCTAAAGTATTAGGATCTGTTTGCTTAAGTCAGTTTCTAATGTGGTACATATGGCTATGAATTTCTGTAGGACTATTGTAAAAAAAATTTCAGCACAGGACTATAGTGAAAATTTTTCTACAGGTTGGTAAGCATATGTAGAATAGAAGGTCTTGTATCACAACTAGTAATAATTTCAAAGTGAGACATCTTGGTTTAAAAGAAATGAATTGCACATATTAGTTTTATTGTGTCGCCTGCAGAGCTGGTGGACACTTAGGGATCACTTTGTCCATCATCACACATCAACGGCGTCGTCCATACGAAAGTTTTCTGGACTTTTTTCGATTATGCTTTGAGTTATCAAAATGAAATTTAGTATATGGCTTCTTATTGGAAGGGTACAGATTAAGTTTGATTTCCAGCTGTCTATGACCCTTCTTTGCAGAGTAATGCCCCTTTGAACTTAGAAAATTCTCTGGAAATATTGTTTTCCGGACTTTTTTGGGTCATCCTTTGAGTTATTGAAATGAAATTTGGTATTTGGCTTCTTGTTGGAAGGGTACAGATTAAGTTCCATTCCTGGCTGTCTGTAACCGTTCTTGGCAGAGTTATGCCTCTTTGAACTTAGAAAATTTTCTGTACTTTCTTTGGTTATGCTTTGAGTTATAGAAATGAAATTTGGTATATGGCTTCTCGTTGGAAGGGTACAGATTAGTTTTGACATCCAGTTCAATTTCTGGGTGACCGTGACACTTTATGCAGGTGACACATACAGTTCCTAGGAACTCTTGTATTGATATAACATTGATTTACATGAAGTTTGTATGTATTAGATATTATGTTCATAATTACCTGGTAGTTAAATAAGAAAAACTAAAAAATAAGGCTTGAAATATGTGAATATTATCACAATCATTTTCTTTTATGACAGGAATCACCGGTGATGTCGACACCAGACCGACAGCCAGGGCCAGTAGTGACAGGAATGTCTAGAGGACGTGGTGCCACACTGGAGGAGATAGAACAACAGATGATGTCACAGTCACACTCAATTAAGAAGCCTATGACAGCAGAGGAGCTGGAGCGGGAAATGCGAGGCGAGGCTAGGGATCAGCAGGTGCCCCAGATGCCCCTTCACCATCCACGAAGCCCTTATTCTGTTCCACATAACATGCCTCCACCATTACCTGGCTCCCCTGCCTTCGTGGGATCCCCAGCAGGTCATGGACCCCCAAGGTTTCATCAAGCACAGGTAGTTACATCAGATTTCAATGAGATTTTTAGGTCATGTACTACAAAAATGCGTTCATCTGATGTCTCAGCTTGCAGAAATGTATTATTGTATACAAAAAGAGTTTCATATAGCAGAACTATTTGAAATTTACCTGTGACATTCCAAAGACATCTTCATTTTCACCAGGCAAAATGTAAAGTTTCAGGTATAGGCACAGAAAAACAAAATTGAAATTTGTCATGGAAATTACTTCACTGAGTTAATTTTCAATTGTTGAAACAACACAGAATTAACTTTGTTTCTTGATACTGTTTTCACACATAATCTTAAATTACTTGTATTGTTATAGTTTCCAAGGACTTAAATCCAACTTAATCTATTTGTATGGTATATGCAAATAGTCCAATACATCAGATTAACACAAAGATTATATTGTGTTAAAAATCAGATTCATGTGTTCTTTACACATTTCATATTCCCTGCAAAAGCATTGTACATCATAATGTTGGAATGTCTAAGTAGTGGCCTGGAAAAAACTGTGATTAATAGGGGCCACAACAGCTCATCCAGTTTAGTTGTAAGAGTGTTGGTTATGTAACCTCAGATGAGGCACATCCTTACCTGTGGTGGTTTTTGTTTCTGAGGAAACTGAGAAACAGACAAGTCTGCATAATTGCTCTGGAAGGCATGCTACTGGCCACCATTATTTTGTTCAGTGAGGTAGCCACCCACTACTGTAAGGAGACCCTGCCTCACAATGCCCCTGACTGTTCACGGGGTGAAAACCCAAAATAATTTGAATGAACAAAAATGGTGGACAAAACAGAGAAATGGAGTTTGAATTCTTCTTCTATTTTATTTCATTTTAAAGATACAATTTTTAAGACCAAGGTTTTGTGTTCTGAAAATGTAGAGAGTGCCGCCAGGATTCAGTCCTATTCAGGCTCAACATTTGTTAGAGGGGAGGCGATCTCCATTGATGGGTGCCACACCCCCTGCAGTGGGGTCACCTGGGGTCATGGGTCAACACCGAGGATCACCACAGATAGGTAAGATAATTAATTAAAAACTCCTTTCTGACGTTATATTTTGTTGTATTGTGAATAATTATCTTTACTTAACCTTTGCTTGACTTTTTCTGCTGATATAATCACTATACTGATTTATGTGCAGATTTTGGTAGAGAACTGTTCAGAATTCTTGTTTTCTTTTAAATCTCAAGAGTAGTCTAGAAAAAAGCCTTACAGTATTTATTATTCTTGTGTTTCATTTGAAAACATGAAATCCTAAGTCTATCATCTTGAAAGGCAGATTCTGTAATTAATTTAATACATTCAATGGGTTTTATGGTCGATATTACTTCCTTTTGGCCTTTCAGCATAGGAATAAAGATAGGAAAGTGATTAGGTAAAGGAAGGATGACAGTAGAGAGTGGGATTACGAAACAAAAATAAAAATCAGAATTTGATCTTGTTATTTTAATGGGAAATGTTTTTTTTCTTCTTTAACTGTAAGATTAAGATTTCCCATGAAGATAATGTATATTTTAGACTTAAAAAGGTTAGACTTAGGAATGTCTCAAAATTGGAGAATCAAGCTAAGTGTGTGCTGTATATCCTGTATAATCTTCTGTTGTGTGTATTTTCTCATGATATAGAATGATTTTCTGAGCTGAATTGATTTGCCTTTTCATATGACATGTGGTAGGAATTAGCCATTGTGCATCATTCATCATTTGTTTGGTCAGTTGACTTAAGCTTTCAAAGTCCCAGGTGTTGAAATCCTTAAACATCTTTAAAGGAATCAGAAGCTAGAGTTCATTTCTTTGTTACAGCCAGGTGTCATTGTGTGAAAGTCTGTGGCCCCCTTCGTCCCTATTCAGTACTGGCCCGCTACGGGGTATCCAGATGGTTTCCTTGTCCAACCGTCTGAAAACATTGTTTTCTGTGTCAACTATTTTGGAATTTTCCAAGTCATTGATATGATTTTGCTGTGTGGAATGATCTGTAGGTGCAGATCTTTTGATCTGGGATTGTAAAGGTTTCTCTCTGATCTAGTGAATTTTTTTGTATTCTTGGGATTCTGGGTCTTTTTGATGTTCATTGAGTTGAACCCAAAATCTCCTGCCTGTTTCTCCAATATATGACACGTAGCAGTTTGAATATCCGATTTTGTATACGCATTCTGTGACATTCTTTGGGTGTTTTATCTTTAAGGTAGACTAGAGTGTCTTGTGAGGTTTCAGGATAGACTAGAGTGTCTTGTGAGGTTTCAGGGTAGACTAGAGTGTCTTGTGAGGTTTCAGGGTAGACTAGAGTGTCTTGTGAGGTTTCAGGGTAGACTAGAGTGTCTTGTGAGGTTTCATGGCCCCTGCAATGCCATGACCACAGTAAATCCTCTTTTTGCTTACATCAAATTCATTGTTAACTTTCTGGATTGCCCAATTAGAGTACCCATGTTTTCATGGTGCTATGGATGTGATTTTGTTCTTGCTTCCTGTCTTGTTCTTCTGTGACAATCATTTCACATCTGTTGAGCAAGGTTCATACATCACCCAACTTCTGGTGCAAGCTGAAGTTAAGGTATTGGTCTGTGTTCATTTTAAAAGAACTTCTATTCTATTGACATTACCAACCAGAAAAAAATGTTTTAAGATTTCAAAAATTGTTCAGATATTATGGGCTAGGTTTGGTATTCACACTGCCCATATATAGAGGTTGTAGACTGCTGTGGATCTGTTTCAGGAATGTCTGGTATATCCCCTATTACAAGGTTGACCCCATCACCTCCACCAGGGGCTCCCCCGGGGGCTGGGGTACCAAACCGCTTTCAGTCACCAATTCCGACGCGAATGATGTCCCCATATGCGCGAGGTGCCATGATGGGCCCCATGGGTATGTATAACTTGAAGTATATCATAGTTCAGATGAGGATATGCAGCAATCTGGTTATCTGGTTTGCCTCTTATGTCAGATCTGTGCAGATTTCTAAATAATTGGCACAAACATTGGCTCAAAAAGGACAGCTTTTAGGAACCATAATCTTTCTAGAATTTATAGAGGTTAAAGAGTTGTCATTTAGGTTCATGGACCATGAAAGGTGTCGGTGCGCACACTTGCCGATATTAATAAAATCTTTTACTTGGAGATGCAGGGTCTTTGTTGCTTCTGTTTTGATCATGTTTGGTGTATTGGTATTTTAAATCCAGAAATGATTATATAATTCTTATGTGATAGTTGGTTTGGTAAAGTCAGAATTTGACATGTAAAAAATATTGAAGCAGTTATATGTGTAATGCTGGTAACTTTACTGTATTACGTAATTTTCCGACATTTATGCACGTTTGTGACTTTCTAGCACCTGTTTATAACTATGTACTATGTGTTGTCTTATGTTATTGATTTGACTTGTGTAATGCTTTATGACATCAAAGTGTTTTCTGCAAATGGATATTGATAAATTCTAGAACAAATATACAATGTGTCTTGACAATTATTCCATATATAGTCATGCTGTAATATACCATACACAGATCAATCTTGTAATCTAAATAATTAAACAACGTCAGCAGGTTAGCAGTGTGATGGATTCATAAGTATGGTGCACCAGCATTATATATGCCATAGAAAACAATTGTCAAAATTAGAATAAGATCTGTCTGAATCATGCTTTGATACAAAGTTAGACATATTTCATTAAAGTAAATGAATAGATGAAACATCTCGGTGCAATTAGTTGTGGCCAATAGTACATTTTTTCTTTGGATTGGTTATTAATAATCTAATACCTAAATATCTTACATCTTTACAGGAAATAGGTTGCCATCACAACCAATAGGTATCCCACGGCAACAGCTCCAGCAACGTCCGCCAACCAATCAGAGTCCATACAATAATAGTCCTGGTGGTCACTTCCCTCAAGGATCATCTCCAGGAGGGCCATATCACAGTTCTGGGCCCAACCACAGTCCAGCAGGTCCAGGCCCTAGGTAGGATAATACTTCAACCTATGTGTGATGTATTTTAGAAGCAAGATATTTTAGTATTAAGGTACTTTGTGAAAGGTTGGAGATTTTGATGAAAGACAGTCTAAACCATTATCTGACAATAAATCCATGTCTGGTATTAGGGTCACCAGTTTGTTGTTGATGTTTAATGATAACAAATACTGTCTCATTGCCCTATGAGATGCCCACTCCTTGATTTTGCATCAAAATTTATGTGTTGGCCCCCTGAGCTGATTGCCATGAATAGATATGTAAATGGTCATTTTTGAAAAAACAGTGTTAAAGAGCAAAATCTAACTAAGTAGTAGAAGTAATAAATAAATCTAGCAGCTTCCATCAGTAAGATATCTTCATTGCATTGAATATATATTTTAGGGGACCCTATCCAACACACCCTCCAGGAGAGAGAGGACAACATCCTCAAGGTGATCGATATATGCATCAGGGTGAGAGGGGCTACCCTCCACAGGGTGATGGTTACACTCCACAACGGGATAGAGGATACCATCTCAAAGGTGATCGATACACTCCTCAAGGAGAGCGGTACCATCGAGGGCGAGGAGTCCACCGTGGATATCATAACAATAATAACAGGTACTGTTCTTTGGCTGTTTCTCTTGGTTTTTATGTTTAAGTTTTTTTCTCGTTTAATAACCTTTTTGGTAAACAGAAGGCTCTGGTTATCCCAATTTCCAAAGTTAAAATATATATCAGTCATATATTTATAAGCTCCCATCCATGAACCAGTTTTTCATTGTGTCCAACCATCCTTCTGTGGCTTGCTCAGCTATCTTTAGTGGGCTCTATCTCCTACACTACTTGTCACTAGAACTGTCTACTTGGGATATGGGTTCACAGTGGTGAGATGGTGTGTCATTTATCAAAAGTTGGTTACTGTGACCTATATTTTGACATTAGACTTCGATCAAAGAAAAAATTGTAGTTTTGAAACTTATATGTACTTATTCAAAAAAATATCTAATAAACAATGTCGAGGAGGTAAAAAAAAGGTTTTTTTTATTTTTAAGTATTAATTTTAATGATAACTTTGATGACAGTTTGATAAATTTTGTTTGCAATCTGCTTTTCAGAGGTTATCGAGATAACAGATACGACCATGACTATGATAACAGAGACAGGAACAGTTATGAACAAAGGAATAATTATGACCACCATAACAATCATCGTCGCTACTACTCCTACCAAAATGACCAGGAGAATCGGCCCTCTGACGAGTATGCTGGTCTGATGACGAAGAAAGAAAAAGACTGGATCATTAAGATTCAACTGATGCAGCTACAAACTGACAACCCTTATCTAGATGATTTCTACTACACAGTGAGTTTATATTTTCTGCTATACTTATACAGTATATCTGTGTAGTATATATATTGAGTGACTAGTTTATGAGCCTTGTTTTGATGAAATAAAAACATGGCAGAATGCACACTTTATGTATTGAAGAGGCAAATCAGCATGGATAAAGCATTCTTTTGTGTAGATAATTTCCTTCTCACCAATGGGTTTGTAGCGACAGACCCAGCTTTTCCTTAAAGATCATAATCATGATTCAGCAAAATTGAAGGAGGCTTCTTACCTAATTGCTGATAAATGTGTTGATGGTACTGATGCTTCCTGATTCATCCTCAGTAATGAATGGGATGCACTTTGTAACATGTCTTTCGTTTTCTTGTGTCAGTACATAGGAGACTGGAAAGTATTCATGTCAGTGTCTATAACATGCCTTTCTTTTTCTTGTGTCAGTACATAGGAGACTGGAAAGTATTCATGTCAGTGTCTATAACATGCCTTTCTTTTTCTTGTGTCAGTACATAGGAGACTGGAAAGTATTCATGTCAGTGCCGATAACATGCCTTTCTTTTTCTTGTGTCAGTACATAGGAGACTGGAAAGTATTCATGTCAGTGCCGATAACATGCCTTATTTAGTGAAACTTGAATATAAAATTACCACAATAAGTTCATGTCTGGTAATAAGTATTGTATATCAGCCTCTTTACTCACCCTGTCCTAAAGTTCTGAAATGTTTTGATGGTGTACTTATGAAATATTTTCCTTACTGCAGACTTACATGTTAAAGAAGAAGATGTTAGAGCGCCAGAAGATGACACAGAATGGCATTAGCAGCAAGGAAGATGATCCAAAACTGATTATCCCATCTCTTGGAAAGCTGGAAACTCGTGCTTACAAACCAGGTGGGTACAAAACTGAGTTGTCTGCCCTTAGATTACTACCCAAGCACATTAAGTGTTGGTTAGACCTTGATAGAAGTTATTAGATTAATATGAAACAATACCAATCTGATGAAGATTTCAGAGTAAAAATATGCTGGCTTGGCTATACAAAATACCTGTCTTTTACAAATCAATAAAACTGAAGGACTTGAAACAATTTTCTTTGTTATTTGGTTAATCTAAAGAGCAAATTAGAAGTTTTAAAATGACCAGTAAAAGTAAATATAGGCCACCACTTGGGATTGCCAAGGCTCTTTTGGAAATTTTTGTGATCACTTGAATGTTTTTCTTGAAATAATTTATACAGAACTGTTATCAAATTGTCGGAACACATGGGAAGTACATTTTAACATCATGATAATGTTTTTTGGGAAAAAATCCGTCCATAGATTTGTCAATTTAGAAATTTATTTGGATAATATATTGCTTTCAGCCCAGTTTGAAGGTTCTCTAGGTCGTCTAACCACTTCCAGTGTGCACAATCCACGTCAGATAATTGATGTGAGGTCACATGTTCATGGTTTGGATGATTCTGATGGTAAGAATACTAGTAAAGAGTTACGAAGATCACGACAACTGCTCATGGAGATCGAAAAGGTGAGAAGATATAAAGATGACTATTATATTGAAGAATTTCATAAATATAAGGATTATATACATCCGTCATTGTCCGTGTTACAAACAGCACAAATACTCTGGATTACTTCCCCTTGCTAAAATGCTAAATGTAGGGCCATTTTCATTTTGTAGAAAAACCAGTTTGTAAACACTTGTAGCGTTTCAAGGATAATATTGGGCTTGTCAGAATATAAAGTATATTGTCAGTGAGGTAGCCTCAAATTGCCCCAAGCTGTTTACAAAGTGATAAATCCAGCAACAGAACAAAAAGCAAAATAAGACTAATAGGACCATTCTGATTTCATAAACAAACAATCCAGGTCCAGTTGGTCAAACTAATAAACAAAAGTGAGTATTGTTGGTTAGGAGATGACCCTGATATATTGATGTATCCATTGGTTTGTTTACCCTGATCACAGTTCAATGTTTCCATCAAAATGTAGTCAAGTTTGATAGTTTTATGAATAAACCTTGGTTTTGTAGGGCTATGACTTGCTGTTGGAGGTGGATGACATAGAGAAGAGGATATTAGCATTACCGGAGGAGTCTAGGTGAGTATCATACTGTTGTACTCAGATTTTTTCTGATGACCTACCTTCTCAAAGGGTAAGTGATATTCTGATGCTGGTGGATTGATTGGAAAATTTTTTACATGCTACAATTATTGTGTAAAGTAAATATTGTGAACATTGAGAAGTATTTTCCTTTAACATGCAACTTTATAGATTTTTCTGCTGTTACAGGGTACCACTGGCCACTGAAAGATTAGAGCTACTGCACAGTCTACACAGCTACCTTACTCATCAAAACAGCTCTGAGCACTTCCTATCTGTGATGTCATTGAGAAAAGGGAGAAAACTGGTTGCCCGTGTTCTTCCCTTACTGGGAAAGGTAATACTCTTCGATTTACAGTTATGTCATGATCTCATTTTACTTCAAATTTTATATTAAATATTGAATAGTATCATTTCTGAAGGATGCTTTCTTTATATTGAAATATAGAATTATTTTGTCCCCTTTTTTAGACTGTAAATGATACATCCTTCTGTCAGCTTTTAATATGCAGTCACATTGGCTTGTAGTCTGGAAAACCCAGATTTGAAATTGATTGACATATACCAGGTAGTTTTCTTCTGTTGATGTACACACAATACCACAATAATTTATTCAACTTTCTTGGCTCATTTTACTGAAACATTTGCCGTATATAAGTTTGTTTGCACATTCCTCACCAACTACTAAACTATTGCATTTTCTTGAATCATGTGATGATTTAAAAACAGGTTTCAGGTGATGATGACCTCAGAGTAACTAATTAGTATTTTAGACCTTTCCATTGATTTACATATCAATATACATGAATCTGATTTATCACTGACACATTTATCTCATTTACAGGATTTATCAGAAAGTTTGATTTCATTTGTCCTGAGAAATCTTCAAGCTCTCATCAAGAGAGACCAGAAAGAGGAGGTAAGATATATATAGATCTGACACATGTCATATTATTATTCCTAACTATGTCATTGATATTTTGTTTGTCTTTATGAAATATTGCCATATACTATATGGTAAGTGTATGGATTTCTAAACATTTGTCTGAAGTAACTCAAAAATTTTTATTTTAAAATTTCAAAATCAGTTTCTGGATATAATTTTATCAAAATCATAAATTTTTATCTTAGTACATACAGATGTAATAACCTTACTATAAGATTGATTGTGAAGCCTTTTTCCTTGATGGCTCTTTAAAAACACACTGCCACTCGAAGGTCTATAACCAGTTAACTAGAAGTTTGTGACACTGGTAATTGTTTCCTTCAAGTTAGGAGTTATCTCCATTGTAGGTTCTAGGTTATCTGGCGGGGTCATTGTATTAAGGCTCAGAATAAATTTGAGAACCAGTTCATGAAGTATTGTCTGTCATTACGGAAAGAGCTGTTTAAAGAAAAATAATTAGGTCCATGTATTGGAGATGAGGGTGCCCTGTAGTAAACACTGTCCATCCATCTGGCTGTCCACAAATTCAGTTCCTGGCTGATAATTTTAGCAATTGTTGACTGATTAACATGAAATTTTGTTAATATATCCAGTTCTCAAAAATACTGAAGGCTAGGTCATTAGGTCAATGTCAAATTTGTGTCTTTTCACTGATCATGTAGTGATGACATTAGGAAGCAAAGTTTGGTAATCTTTTCACTGATCATGTAATGATGACATTAGGAAGCAAAGTTTGGTAATCTTTTCACTGATCATGTAGTGATGACATTAGGAAGCAAAGTTTGGTAATCTTTTCACTGATCATGTAATGATGACATTAGGAAGCAAAGTTTGGTAATCTTTTCACTGATCATGTAGTGATGACATTAGGAAGCAAAGTTTGGTAATGATTTAACAGCAACTCAACTGACAAAAAATCAGGTCAGAGATGAGGGTCGGTAGATCAAGGTCAAATTTTGGGTCTTTTCACTGATCATGTAGTGATGACATTAGGAAGCAAAGTTTGGTAATCTTTTCACTGATCATGTAGTGATGACATTAGGAAGCAAAGTTTGGTAATCTTTTCACTGATCATGTAGTGATGACATTAGGAAGCAAAGTTTGGTAATCTTTTCACTGATCATGTAGTGATGACATTAGGAAGCAAAGTTTGGTAATGATTTAACAGCAACTCAACTGACAAAAAATCAGGTCAGAGATGAGGGTCGGTAGATCAAGGTCAAATTTTGGGTCTTTTCACTGAATGTTTTGTGATGACATTATGAAGCTAAGTTGATCAGAATAAACAAGGAGTCAACTGTCCAAAGGTCATTGTCAGCTAGTCTAAAGGTCAAAGTCAAATTTTGTATCTTTACTCTGATGCATTAGATGATTAAAAGTCCAGGTAACCAAGTCAAAGAGTCCCAATTTCACTGGTTCAAAGGTCAAGATCAAATTTTGTAAATATTCAATTATGAACATTTTGTTTTGACATTGATAAGTTTGTCAGAATTGAACAAGAAGTGAATTGTTTAAAGATAAAAGTAAATAGATTTGACATTTGAATCATTTAAGTCAAGGGCAAAGTGAATTGTAAGTAGACAAAAGGTCAATTTACCAAAGGTTAAGTCATGTATAGCCACACAACAGGGCGCTTGTGGACCTGTCCGTGTTCTGCTGGGATATCATGGTTGTTTTATAACATAAAAAATCAACTCTGAAAAACATAATTGATTTTCAATTCAACATGTAAATGGTTCTAAATATTTCTTGCAGTTTTGAGATAATACACCGATTTTCATGAGGAAACTCTTTTGTGAAGGCAATATGTTTTGTTGTGTGATAGTCAATGATAAAATTAATGATTTTAACTACTTTATTCCACATGGTTTTGAGTCCATTCAATCTTTGTTTGATCAGGGCCTGATGGTTCTACATAATCCTGTTACTCAAGTATTGGACACCTGTGATCTTGACTCGCTTGTCAAGTTCTCCAGAGAACTACAGCAGGAATCTAGTAGTAACCAGTCCAAATCTGTAGCTGTCGCAATTCAGAACAAAGTAAGTGGATTTTCCTAACCAAAATATAGAAGGCAAAAAAGCATTTTATCTCATTATACTAGTACAATGTTATTGTTGGCACTGTTCTAATATGATATTGTGATGTATTACTCTTTGTGTTGTTTTGTAGTTTGGCAGTTCTGTGATCAGTAGTCTCCTACACAGGGGTGAAACTCTCTACATAAAAACGTCTCCTCTAGACCTAGACAACCAGCTACAAAGTATATGGTAAGTTTTTCTTTTAAGATGCTATCTACTGTCTTCATCTGCTTGACATAATAATCCACTTGTTTTTTTTTTTACATTACTGAAAAAAGCAAAAATGAAAAAACTGCTAGAACCATATTATTACACAAAAAATATTCTGATATCTCTTCCCAAACTGACTAATAAATGGGATACTGAAGACTATTGTTAGAAAAGATCATTTATACAGAAATTAAGTAAGTAAGGCATGGTAGATGTTGTAAATTTTGACATTGATTTTTGTCTTTTCAGGTGCCAGTTTGTTCATGACTTTGCTGGTATATTAGCAGTAGTACCAGCAGAATCTCTGGTACACCCTATGTACCATCACACGAGCATTAACGATCATTTTGACCGTCTACTTAATAAGAAACTCATTGCTGTTGTAGAAGACAAAGTGAAACTATTTACAGAACCTCCCATGTAGTGTGAATGTCAAACAGTATTTCTAATGGTACTGTGATATAGTGACTTATCTTGTCTCCATTCTTAATTACTTTGCCTTTTGTAGCTAACAAGTCTCCATGTGGAGCATTAAACTTAAATAGTATGATGTATGCTGTGCACATTACTGATAACATGATGTGCGTGTGTGATTCTGTACAATGTTTGCAGGACATGGTGTTATCTAATTGTAAATGGTGCATTGGTGATTATGCACAATGTATGCGGTACAGAATTATATTCATTTGTGATATTTGAATTAAGTAGACTTTGTGATTTTTATTGAGAGAAAGGAAAGTGAGGTGTGATTTCTGTCTTTGCTAAACAGTATAAAGCCTTCTGAACTCAAAAATGATCAGCTCCAAATGATTGTTTTCCAAAATGTTTCTTTAAATCGGATTTGGCAGCACACAGTAAATTGTAATACAAATAAGAGCTTAAATACTTAAATTTGTAGGATTTTTAGAATACTCATTAATGAAACATTAAACAGATTAAGATTGTATTAAAGATGTTCAGGTGTGCAGGGATGATGTTCAAATTATTGGAAATATTGAGGATGAACATACATTCGGGACCTTGTGTTTTATGCATTTCATATACTGAAAAAAAATAAAAGACTGATCATTTTCTGTCATGTAAGGCAGAAGGCAGACCAACATCAAAATTTCTTAATAGATAATGCATTTATCTTGTCCATATTTGAGTTAACTTGGCTTAACTATATACAGTGAAATTTGCCTGATCGGATGCCTCTATGTTCTGACATCTTGTTTAATCAAAGTTAATTCCATATCATATGAAAACTGGGACCTGCCTAATTCAACATGATATTGTATCTGATCAATATTGGTCCACATGATCTTTGACCAAACAGGTTTCACTGCATATTTCTGTTGGATTACTTATCGTTTTTTGGATTTTCTTGAAAACTAATATATATTGAACATTTTGTGAATATTGGAGTAATTATATCAGGGAAAAGTTTTTGACCATCTGCCCTAATTCTGAAACTTTGTCTGATTTTGAAGGGTGAATTTGTGTATATTTGTAACTTTTTCTTCTGTAACTTTGAAGACAGATGGATATCAAAGTTTTTGTAAAATCATTCAGATGTAAATTTAAAAGAATATTAATAGTACATTCTGTTTCAAAGTATGAAGTGTTTTACAATTATATTTTACTTCATTTGTGTGTAAATTTTGACATTTCTTTCATGCTAAGTCAGCGATATTGTCACAAAGTTTATATCATATGTAATTATACTTACCATAAGTAATGAATTTGATTAGTTTAATAACCCAAAGTCATGATTTTGAAGTCAATGTTGATTTTGTTTTTTTAACCAAAGGTGAAATTTTGGTGGAAAAGATTTGATTGATCATTAATACTTACAGAATTTATCATATTTGTGACATACATGACTGTGACTGAAAAATAACGGGAAGTTACTGGGTAACTTGACGGAACATGTTCTGTATCATTGCATTTGGTTTATTTATGCATTTATTATTGTATTCTGAAAGATAAATCATAAATATGTACAACAGAAACCATATTGGATTTCACTGAGATATCATTGTAATGTAGACTGATAACTTATATATTCATCACTTTGTTCACTTTTTGTACTGCATGGATTTAAAGACTATTGGTTCAAATATATTTCATTGGTTAAAGAACAATCAACGGGATTGGGCACAAGTTCTGACAACTAACTAGGCCCTATCCTCCTCTATAACAGTGATGCTTTTGTGAAATGATACTGAAAAATGTTTTCAGCCCTTTAATCTTAGTTACCTACCTTTGGTAAACCCTATGTTCACTTCTATCTTTAAAGGCAGTACTTAAGGGCATATGCTGCCATTTCCACCCTTTTCTGTAGAGTCATACAAAAAAAATGATAGATTTCTTTTATAACAATAATTTGAACTTTGTTCATAGACAACACTTTGAAAAAGGTTAGATTATAAATTAATATTATGGTAACTTTGACACTTTGAAAAAGGTTAGTTATTACATCCTGGTTATGTAAGAGTTAATGTGATTGTAAAGCAAAAGGTGGAAATAATACAGACAACTTGTTTAATGTGTAAGGTAGCTCACAAACGAAGGTCATTTAGAAAAATGTTTTAATGTAAAATATAGTCAACATGAGAGTATTGTTCTTTGATTAATGTATTTTTCACAGAAAGAACAAAGATTTTGTGCATTCTTGCAGAGTACCCATGGATGAATTCATTGATAAGCATTTACCCCCACCTCAGTATTCATTAGGGATATATTGTTATTTTCATAATATGAGACAAGTTTGCATCAAACTTGAAACGATTCTTGTCAATCATTATTTAAAAAAAAAACATGTAAAAATTTTCTGGCAAATGTAATGATTCCCAATTTACAACTTTTCGAGTTTGTTCAATATAGATGTTTAATTACAGGCTGTAATTCTGGTTTGGATCAAGTTTCAAGTGACACATTGTTTTGTTAATGTGTTGATGCAATTTATTTGCAACTATTTGGAATGTGCTGTTATTATTAATTTCTCCAATTACTTTTCTCTGGATGAATAATACAAAATTGTCCAAATTTTTCCAAGCTGATTCCTAGCACTGTCACTACTATGTAGGCATATTGTTGTGTTTTATGGTAAAGTTGATTTGATAGCAGTCTTGTTAACTGTAGGATGGAAACTGTCACACTGGACAAATATTTATGAAATTAATTTTATAGTGTAGATTGGTATGACTTTGTCAAGATCTCATTTTTTCCAAATGGCATTTGTACTTGTACATAATAGAAAAAATTCAAAACTGCTTAACATTGCTTTATTGATTTTACTACATCAGTTTGGTCATAAATATTCAACATTTACTTACTAAAATACTGGTGTACAACAACATTATGAATGTTCCATGCTTAATAACCACCTTCTTTGATATGTTGTGCAATAGCTTATGAATATTCATTATTCAATTTCCAGCTTCTGATTATGAATATGTAGCACTTCATTATGTCATGCTAATAAAGACATAGTAGGGGAGTATATGGGTATAGTAGGGTTACTACTTTACCTGAGGTGATAATAGATGACATTGTAAGTGATGATGATTTCTTCTGCCAGGGCTATCAATAACAAAGTTAATCACCATATACAGTATTTATAACTTAGAAGATAGATATTCTAGTGGTAATGTATTGATATGTGTAATTGCCTTTAATTTCGGCTGGGGATGGGTGTCATATTTGTATATGCAGGACATATTATTTCATTTTGATATCAAAGGTCAGTGATGTGGCCACGTAAAGGTCAAATATATGAGACGGGTTGATATTTACGAGTACTGTTGATAGATTTGTGATGGTTGTATGAGAGTATACAGAGTCTGTGGGGCGACATTGGTTAGGCCCAGGGCGATATATGATTATGCCCTTACAACACAGATTGGACCCAGTGTATTAAGCCAAGGGCGATATATGATTATGCCCTTACAGTACAGGGTGACATGATGATGCCCTTACAGTCAGGGCTGTATGATTTTGCCCTATCAGCACAGACTGGACCTAGTTCTTTAAGCCCAGGGCGATATATGTTTATGCCCTTAGAGTTTGAACCCTCTGTGTACAGATGAACGAGATAATCGTGTTGTAACATTACATTGATTAGTGCTTTGTTTTCTTTCACATGTGCTATAAGTAAATTATCTTTGTATCTTTTGTTTTTCTTGGTTTATTTTGTACATCATCAACACCAACCTTCACCTGTCCATAAACAATCCATGTTATTGCAGTTTTATAAAAAGTCCTGAAGAAATATTTCTTGGACTTCCTTAGTTATGATCAATCAGTCTTAAGTCTTACCAGTGAAACTATATGGCTAACAGGTGACCGTCCTGGATTTTGACAGTTGAAGTTTGTTGTTGATAGAATCAATGAATCATTCAATGATGGCACCAAGATCCCTTGGATCTCTTCTAAACTTCATCATTAGTTTTTCTATGTCTGTTTCAACTAAGTGGTGTTGTCTTTTTTTCAGACCGATAGGAAAATTAAGATGACCGACTGGAGGCAATACTGGATTTTGAGAAAAGTAGTTTGTTAACTCAGTAAGGGCTAATTGAACTTGTGTGTTGTGCGTCCGTCGTCTGTCCGTCTGATGGCAACTATTTTATTTAAACAAATTCTTCTCAACCATATGTCATGGTATTTGGCTGGTGGGTTGTCGAATGACTCACGACAAAGTTTGCAAAAAAGTGACATTGACATTTATTCAAGGTTACAGGTCGATTATGTTAAAACCTTTAAACAACTTCTGATGAATAATCAAAAGGCGCAGAATCATGTTTTTGGCTGATAGGATGAAACCAAACAAAGTTTGTGGAAAGAAATTTCCTTGAGGTCGCAAAACATTTAAACAATTTTTTTCTAATTAACCAAACGACACAAAAGCGTGACATTTAGCTGGTAGACCTCAGGGATGAAGCCTGACAAAGTTTGAAAAAAATGAACTTGAACCATATTCAAGGTCACAAGGGCAAATTGTCAAAACCTATTTAAGACTTAACCTGGTAAACGAGAAGCAGACTATTTGGTAGAGAGGTGTTTCTAGGTCAAAGTCCGACAATTTCTCGAAGTTCATATGTAGTTTCCTGATCGCAAACACAAAATGACTGACAGGCCGCCATCTTGGATTTTGACTGTGATAGGATGTACCTAATGGACCAGTCTCAAATATGTTGGTTCCTTATTTAGGATCGGTCGGGAAAACATGATATGTTTGCTTCCCATATAGCCTATATTTTCTATGTTCAGTTCACAGGATAGAAGAGAATGAAGGCAAATCATTCAGCCAGTAGATACCTCATAAAGATAATACAGTGTTGGCTGTCAAGCTTCCTTTAGAATTTAGTCCAATTCGATGACGCACTCGTGTAATTGCCCTTTGACCCCGTACCTGTCTTTAGACCATTCTTGTTAATGCTATTTCTCGAGAGATTCGGGATTGATAAGTTATTATCCCATCTTATGCATTGTCCATTTTAAGGACCGACTGGAGAAAAACAAAATGTCTGAAAGGATCATGCATTGGATTTATTTGATTTATTATCGCTATTTCTTAGATGTTCTGGACCGATCATTCTTAAATTTTACATTCAGGAGCTGGGAAACATGTGGGGGCCTCTTTCATGTTCAGTGAGTTTAGAGTATAGCATATCAGTAGGAGAAAATATTGATGAAATTGATGACAAGGTTGTCAAGTTCCTATATGAATCGTGAGATACATATAAAGACATTATGTCACAACGTTGTGTGAAATGAGCCCTTGTTTCGATCGACTAGATTAAAAGTGAATGCCTTGGAGATGAAATCCCTTTATGTTTCGCACGAATTCCGGTGTCAGTGTTCCTAGGTCACTCCAGTTTTAAAGTACTCTAGCCAGTATTTGATATGTTTGTGTTCATAAAAACATAAAAAGACTGGACAAATTATTCTAGCATCGATAAATCAACATAAAGTAAGAATTAGCGGTATTTGAATTATTACAATTTGTGCTTCTTTTATGGAATGGCGGGATGAGTCACACTATCACTTCCTACATCGTGTATTGGTTATCAGTTTATTTGGCTGTCGGTGTGACGTGGGTGGTGTCATGACCCTGTATGACCTCGTCAATACACCTGGAAGCATCATTCTCGGTAAACGCATTCCACGTGGAAAAGCCATCACTCACAGCTGTAGTGTAATTTTTGGACAAAGAGCAAGGTGAGATGGTACCGCTGTATAACAGCGATTTGATATATGACACGTATCAATGTTTGAAATGATTTGAATCTAGAGTCAAACACTGGGAACAGTATGAAAGGATAATATAAAGTTCTCTTTTCTGTAAAACAAACATGCACGGTCAGATGTCGGAAGATTGTCATACACATGCCTACGTATATATATATATACTATAAAACACTCATGAAGGAGGGAAACATTAAATTCCACGAAGATCAAAATAAAAAAAAATTGGGAGTAGACCACATGTTCCAGAAGGAGGAGTGTCCTTTACTTATCGATTTTTCAAATATTTACTTCTTGAACATTACGCCTGTTTTAAAATGCTGATGATTTTATAGACGACATTCGCCATATTAGTCCAGGTTATGCTTATATTTCCTTTGCATAACTTGTACTTAGTTTTGTAATATTTTTCGAGGTTTGACGTCATTATAATGTGGAGTTGTCTAGTGGACAGTCGTCAGGAGGACCAGTGTGGTCCCACAACGATAACATAAAGAGATATTTTCGGACTGAAGCATGGCCTATCAGAATACCCTATCAGGATTTTGTATCGGTAAGTTATTAAATAAGTCACATATACACACACCTTAACATGTGTGTGAGGGTTAAAGATCATTCGTCCAAATTTTTCTGATATCTAGATGCATTTGTACGTCATCTGGAGAAAACTGAACACATGCAACCGTTTCTGAGAGATTTTAATTGGAAAGACAGTTCTATTGTTATACACAATAAGATAGGTTATGTACATACATATAATACCGATAACGTAAACAAACTACATATCCGACCTCTTCAGCAAAACTGACACCGTGTTAGAAACGAATGGTATTTCATAAATAAGTTTGTAAATTTTCACATGTTTGTTTTCTCGCCAGTACGTTGTATTCAAAATACCTATGTTCCTTTTTCCCAATGAATTTGTATTTGACAGAACATATCTCACCTGTTGAGGAGGCATTTAGAGTTTTCATTTGGATTTCCCCGAAACTTTAATCTCAAAGCAACAGTACAACACAATTTTCGTTAATCCGAACCCCGGTAATGAAGAACTAATCACCTGCATATTTATTATATGAAATAAATCCACATAGCGTTGATATCAGTTATCATCCAGAAAATTCACCCTCCTGGTGTTAGTTAACAACACCAATGTTCCAGAAATGTCACTTTCCGGATATCTAGTATACAACCTCAATTTCCCAGAAATTTCACTTTCCGGATATCTAGTATACAACCTCAATTTCACAGAAATGTCACCTTCCGGATATCTAGTATACAACCTCAATTTCCCAGAAATTTCACTTTCCGGATATTTAGTATACAACCTCAATTTCCCACAAATTTCACTTTCCGGATATTTAGTATACAACCTCAATTTCCCAGAAATTTCACTTTCCGGATATCAGTGACAGTTTCTTTTATCTGGCCATTCACGTTACTAATATTTTCCATTAAAGTGGTCGAAAAATCTTCAGAATACAGACTTTACCGGGTGCCGACCATTCCGCAGTAGTGAGGTTCTATATTGTAATTCGTATACAGTTGGATTTTCCTCCACATCTACAAGGGGTTCGTCGCCTAGTCACTATGTTAAGGCTTATAGTTAACTATTTTTGTGGAGTGTCGCTCTTAACAACATATACGCCACATCGCGGACAACAAAGGGGACTAACTCCACTCTATAAAGCATCATCTTGGATAGTCAGGTATTTTAAATGGTCGTTCCATGTACATTTCGTATCCCAAAGGCAAAAATACTCGTTTGCTGCGTCCGATCGCACTACTTGGCCGAACGTACATATACTTGTCTTTCAGACTTCTATTATTATCATATTCAATGACCCTGAGTGGTACGGTCTTGGTCAAGGATTTTCTACTCTCTGAAACCAGGTAGCCTGGACGTCCGGTGTGTTCCGTTCGGACGACGATCGGCTTCGGACGAGTCTTGGGCACATAGATGTACTGTGGTTCCTGCAAAAGATCAATCAGGATTAAACATGATTTTATATGGACATGAACGTATAGCAGTTTTATTTTCGTAAAGTGCCAGGTAGTGGAGAGAAATAGTACTAAGGGCAGGTAAATTTTACTAAAGCAGGACCCTACTTGTCGTCGACACAGTGATATGCATGATGCCTTTGGAGGCTGAAACGTTTTATTACAAATAGTATTTTGGATAAACGTTAAGTCTCATGTTCCTCTATGTCTAGTATAACGCGACATTCTTTAGTGGTGGGTAAAATAAAGGGAGTTAACTCTTTTACAAACCGTTTAAAAGGTTGTACTTTAAGTTCTGCTCAATATTCAGAGCATGTTTATTTGCTTTTTGAGTTTAGAATGACAACATTGCTTCTTGTATGAATGAAAACTTAATTTACGTGTACAATATTTACATTTAATCGATATTAACCAGGCATCGAGCATTTCCTTTTTCAAGATCAATAGGAAAAAATGAAAATTTCAAGGTTTGTGCCCACGAACATTATATATACTAATAATGCTTTTTGTAAACCGGTTCTTGGTATATATGCTATAAGCAGATTATACTTTAATACCGTGCTATACGATCTGTATTTATTTTTCTCAAGGAACACTCTTAATATTGAAATTCAGAGCTCAATATTACATCACCAGCTTCACACACGTTTCATTTTCAATAAAAAGAAGATTTACTCGCGTATATAAATACTATGTGATCCAGTCGAGAAAGTGTAAAGAACTTATTTACGTTTTGACCTTTGCTTGTTGTGTTGATCTGTCGTGAACATACTGCTGTTCACAAGAAATATGGCGGCTTACCAATAGCTCTTTTCTGCTTATATTCTTATAACACTGACTCCAACAATCCAACAATCAATACTCTCACAATACCTTGATATGAACAATAATAACATAGTTATATCAAACACTACTGCCTTTAAATA